CTACTTTGTGTTGTATTGAACTAAAGTTAACGGTACTCCAGACGCCTTCGCAGATCTGACGATTGTGTCATGCGAATCCGAACCAAACGCTCTCGAGATATCAACAAACGCCAAACTGAGGTTAGAAGCACTTGCTTTAGAGTGTCGACGCAGCGATTTCGCTTCCAAATAACCGTCTCGATGTAGAAATGCAAATTGGAGTGAGGGCAGTTGAAATCTACGACTCCATTGATCAGCAAGAATATTATGAAAGCATCAGAAAAGGATGGATTGATTGGTCTCAGTTGGTCCGGTGAAGTCGGATTTCGGACCTCCGGAACTCGCGTAATATGGACACGGCACAGATATCAGAGACAATCGTCATTTAATAAAAGTAAGTTGAAATACCCAGCGAGCGCATCCTGGGCGTGGGCCCATCTATGCATGTGGACGAAATGCCCATTAGACGGATCGTCCGCCCACCTCCTCACCTGTAATTGGCTTAGTCAAACTGCAATCAAATGGTAGCACTGTGCAAGTTTGCCGGCTATCCACGCGTTTTGGAACAGAGAGCACCTGTTTCCACTACTGCTCGGTATCCCGTGGTGGGCCTCAGTCACCTTTGTGCAGAATCTTCAATGACCGTCGAGCACAACTGCATCTTTCCGTCTTTGGTGGTGTGGGATCTGGACGGTGATGTAGTTGACTGGGTGGATCTGCTTTGGGTTGACCGGCATCCGATGGGCTAGCTGACGACGACGTCGGGATACTGTTTTCCAGGTATGTGGAGATGTCCTAGATGCGTGGGGGTCCAGAGATGACGAAACTTGCTCCAGTGTCATGCTGTCAGACTACAACCCTCGGGCAAATGCCAGGAGGTCAATACTATCAAGCGAGCTGTCAGCATGGAATTCCAAGTGTGACGCGGCGCAATCCTCGATTTGTATAAACCAGACGCTATAGTCCTCAGCTTCTGACGAATAGGCCATTGTTTGACCCTTCGGTTGGTCAGTGCCACCAAATGATTATTCTTCCTGTCGTGCTTACCAGTTAAGAATACGTAACCTGGTTTCGATGCCAATAGTCGATCGACCAGGGAAATACTGCTCCAGTCTCGCGAACAGCACGGTTTGTATGTCACATAACGGATAGAGATAATTTGCTTGTCTCTTGTGACTCTTGTCGGGAGCAGCTGACATTGAAATTCCTCACTCGGTCAAGCGTACCTGCATTACGCTAGTTTTGACTGTGGCCAATCTTCGTCTGAAAAAGATGAAAACAGCCGGTGCATGACAATTGGGCGATCACGTTCTTCGCAACACTTTCATGAACGTGAAATCGGCGCTGGGTTACCAAACCAGCTTTCTACTTGCCGCACTTGCCAAATCAGTCACAGGTGAGCCTCACGAGCCTCTCCTGTCTACTGACTGGAACTGGTGCAGAGGCACCAGATGATTCATATTGTACATTGTTGACAGTAATCAGCACAATGAAACCAAACATGGTGTTTAACCCTGTCTGGAATTTCTGAACTCGTAGTTCGCCTAGACTGAATTGTGGGCTAAGCAGTCGACACCACAAGGAGGTGGTTCAGCGCGCCAACCCATGACGTGGATATTTGCAGTATATAAACTTTAATTTTCCTGGTATGCACCCGAGTGACAAGCCTTCTGTCATTCACTCACTATATAAGGCTCGTGAGTGTCAAAATCGCTTCATGGGTAACTGAAACATTGGTCTGAATTCTGAGCAGCACAGAACCTCTTCACAGGATTTACAAAACAACACCGTTTTCTTGCGCCAAAAAATTACATTAGTCTTTTTGCCACTGCACTCAGCTGCCAAAAGCGTCTGAGCTTTTTCAATGGGAGATTCTTGAAACAAAACGTGAATGAGCGCAACATCCTCGGAGGTCATAGAGTGACCCAAAAGCCTAAAATACAACACTTATTACTAAGTAAACTGACGCCAGGAGGAAGGAGTTTTTCAGTTCAGATGAGCCACTGACACCCTGAACGAAATTTCCCATAAAATCAGCATGTCATGCGCATATTACCTCCTGGATAAGACTGAGCAATGAGTTTCTGGGAGCATTGTGATTTGGCCCAAGTATCTGTTGCCTCTGCCGCATTAGTAATGAAAGTTAGCTTGAAGCCCATTATTAGCCAGAACCATCTTCATAGCTAAACATGTAAAAAGCTTAGTTATTTGCTTGAAAACCAAACCGGTGATATGTCACGACAAAAGAAAGATTTGACGTTCTGCAGCGTCTTCAAATGATTGAAAACGTCCTTTTTACAACAGGAAGAATAAAATCTTCACCGGGAGGAAAAAAACTGAAACAAAAGAAGCCAGTGTGTATAATAAAGAGACATCTAAAACAAGTGACAAGAAGAAAATCTTGGGCTTGAACTCGCCAGTACAAAGATAATCCGGTTGTAGATTTTGACAAGGCTAATCTCCCCAGAACCAGTCTCGATGCTGTTTGACTCCTTAGCTTGTCAGCCCATTATAAGCCACCAGGAAAAGAAGTCCGAACGCACCCTCAAAGTTACTTCCAAATCATCAACCGGATTTAATAGCTTAAAGTCAAAATCCAGGATCTGTAACCTCTTGAAATCATGTTGTTTCCATCATGCCACACACTGAGATGATTGACCCTGTTCAAAAATTGACTAGGCGCAACGACACAGATATTGATATTTTTTTGTCTAACCTGAAAGAACTTCTGCTACCTTTTATCTATATAGTTAACTTCACCTTGAATAGTGAATTTAATTTGTCAAAAACTGGGTCAAGAAAGGGGTTCCTTCCAGGCCTGTTTTGGTCAGACCAA